TGTTATCTGAAAACTCATTCTTGGCCTTCCTATTTCTGAGGTTATATCAAATAGTTGTTATAAAATATAAAAACTTCACCCTTCATCATCATCACTTGTAACTATTTACTGTTATCTCGTTATATTTTGTAAATGTTAAAAGGGTGATCTAGATTTTCTCACATTGATTTCGAGACATAATAGAGAATTTCAAGAATTGATTACTCTTCTGAATAAACACACTCCCACGAATGCACAATAACTACACCTTTACTAGTTGAGAATAGTCACTTGTATTTCGAAAGCTCCAATAGTATTTGAGAATAGTCAACTCAATTTCAGAAAGCGTCGCATTAGTCAATCGAATTTAAGACAGTGTAACTTGTAAATTAGAAAATTTCATTTGGAATCCAATTGTCGCTTTCTGAAATGCGATTGAATAATCTGGAAGACAAATATCGCTTCTTGAAATTGAATTAACTATCCTGAAAAACAACTGGAGCTTTCTGGAATTCAAGGGATATTCTGAAATACAATTGACGCTTCCTGGAATTCAATTGACTATTCTGAAATACAATTTATGCTTTCTGAAATACAAGTGGATTCTAAAATACAATCGACGTCTGATCTAATTGCATTGACGTTTTCTGGAATACAACTGAAAAAGGTGCAGTATGGAAGAAAAAAGTGTAGTTATGTACAATTTTGAAAAACAAGCCTTCTACAATTCATTTGTGCTCTCAATGTTCATTCAATCCGTTTAGATACCAGCATATCCTTGATAAGTAGCATATGCAGGGTATGTAACGACGAGCTTACACTATCCCTATATCAAGATTCAGTGAAGAGAAATCCATGGAAATATGCACGCTTGTACTTTAAAATACGCTATTTCCATTAAAAATATTTTCAGCAATGCAGTATTGCCACTTCTACCAAAAAGTAGCAACAACTTTGTTATTTCAAATAGAATACCTAGTATCACATTACATTTTCAGATCGAAGAGCTGATTCCACACATGGAGTCTATCAGAAATGATCACAGAGATACAGGGTGTTCAAAATCGAGATTTCTCAACTTCAAGATTTGTTTGTGTCGAAACTATTTATCATCAGCCAAAACGGCTCACATGTCCGTATATCAAGTTTTGATAAAATTTTTACTGATATCCATTCGGAACAGATACATACTGATCAGAATTCTAAATCTCGAATCACCCTGTATCTGTTCCGATTAAATATCCCTAAATAGTCAATCGAATGGGACATGTAAACCGTTTTGACAGATAATGAATAGTTTCGACACAAGAAAATCTTAAATTTGAATAATCTCGAATTTGAAAACCCTATATCTCTGTAATCTTTCTTGATAGACCCCAAGTCTGTTACATCAATAGAATCAGCACTTCAGGAAGAATCTAAAATTTCAATAAAATACAGGGTGAAAACATATGGAATATCAATGTTGCCACTACCTTCTAGTAAGTAGAAGCGGCAACACTTAAGTGCCGAATATATTCCAAATAAAGAGAGCGTATTATGAAATATAGGCAAGCACATTCTCATGTATTTCTCCCTACTGATTCTCAATATAAAGATAGTGTAAACTCGTGGTGACATACCCTGTAAATTCGTATATTTTCAGAATCAATTTTTTTGCAACATAATTATGACAACCTGCTTCAAGTTATCATGCATTCTTCCAAGTAAATCAATTCAGAAAACCGAATTTTCTATCTCACATCTTCACATCTCGAAATCAATTTGCGAAAATCTAGGCCATCACTCTATATTATGTTTATTGTAGGAAGACTGTTACTCTTTATATAGGCATTAGGTATTCTGATGAGTTCTCACAAATATTTTTGAGGAACCTCATACTTCTGTCTCGTCTGATAGATTATTGTTCTAATAAAATAACCTATACTCTGAATCTGGATGAGATTGAGTTATTCTGGTTCAATTTGTGAGAATTCGAAAATCAAGTTTATGATAATAACTATTGTATTGTTTTTATATAATTTGACTGACTGACATAGATCAGCTAAACTGTTTGTATACATATTATATTTTATTTTTTTATCTTCATGTGTACTTGAATATGATGAGAGATTTTTTTAGTAAAAATATTGAAATGATTAGTGCTCATTGTTTTTATATCATCCTTTTTCGAAGTGATTTCTGGAAAAAATAATAATCTTATATAGGATATGGGCCAACTTGTGACAAAATTATGATAAACGCGAATTACCTATAAAAACTGTTCAGAAGAATTGATATTTTGTTATAATATTGTTGATATAGTGAATTCCTACTAAACTATCACACGTATCTTTGGAAAAATCATTTCGTTTGATTTTTTCCATGAGACTGAAAGAAATGTTTAGCTACTCTCCTAATATACTGTATGTTTGAGAGACTGTGATACTATTTTAGTGTCGATCTCAGAAAAGAGAGTCATTCCTCATAATGACTTTTGTAGGGCTTGATTTCAAAAATGCAATCATCAAATATCAATTTTAATTGCGTAGACAAGGTTTGTCAAGAAATGAAAATCTTGGACAATATCTATAATTATTGTAAAAGGAATCGACTTCAATTGTGAAGACTTCTAATCATTTACTCTTGAGCAAAACTCATGATTCTTTGACTGAGAAAATTTCATATCTGATGTAAACATTCTGGGTTTCAGGCATTGCAGAACATTTTATGAGGAGTGACTTTATTCCTAGCATTGATAATGACAATGTTTTTTATGTTAGCTGTTACTAGATATTTGAAAGTTACTTTCAATTCATGTCAATTTTCATCTTTCCAATTTTTTTATGGTCAAAAATAGGAGTAGGCACTTCCCTACCCAGCATGATCAATCAAACTCGATTTCGATGTTATTCTTGATATCGTCAAGCATTGAAAAATTCACTAAATTTCCAGCATTCAATCATTTCATCACACATGTTCGGATGGTTTTTAAGCACTGTTATCTCAGTAGGCTCAAGTTTTTTTAATTTTCTCTGTATAGATATCGATAGCGTCGAGAACAAACTCCGACAATATTCATACTGAAGTCTCATTTTTCCCATCATCGATTATTTCATTTACATGGACAATTGAAGAAATCTTTTTCATCATCATCAACCTTATCTTGAAGATGCGATAATGAGTATTGGGAATAGAGTTTGTAACATGGTTTTCTCAGAATATTGTTAGATATTTGATAGTTACAGTGAGTCGTTGAGAAAGAAGGGGAAGGCCAGAAAGAAAATGAATTTGTCAAACGGAAACTCTTCATTTGCAATCATACACAATAATTCTGATAGGTTTCTTGAACCAACCATAATATAGAATAATACATTTGGTGACCGTGACATCAAATATGGAAGTCGATCTAATTTAGAGACACCAGCTCAGAGAACATAGCAACGAAACTTGCATGGATATAAAAAAGTTTTGTCACAAGAAAATCCAGCTGAATATAAAGTAATTGTAATGACCCAACATAAATGAGAATATTGGACGAGTATTCTTTAGTCATGAACTCAGAGAGAAAGGAACTGAGGAATAATCAGACAAAAATGAAAGCTACATTAGGTAATATCACCATCAGCATTCATTCTAAGTGCGACGCGTTTTCAAAAAAAAAATTCTCCAGAAAGAGGATGAAGAGAACTGCTCCCAGTGTTCTTATGGAGAGAAACAAAAGAAGAAAATCCGTCTTGACAAAGCTAGAGTTGAAGAAATCCAATGGGAATGTGAAGAATCGTTAATGATGAAGATATTGATTATATTCAGCACGGGAACTTGTCGAAAGTGTACCTTCAGCAGGTGCTTACTACAAGAGAGCCATTGACCAGTTGAAAATCAAGTTTGCCAGGGGAGAATTCATAATAGAGGTGAGATTATATGTGAGCAAGTTGTTGCATACAGCACTGTAGCAAGCGAACAACACCAAAGCAGGTATGACTTTTTCATCAGAAGCACAATTGAGGGTAGTTATAGACATCTGGCGTCACACAGGATAAATATGCAGCGGTGATTTTTTCTCGTGTTCGTGAAAAATATCAAATATGACAGTTGTTAGTCTATATACTTAGTAAATCCATATACGTATTAATAAACAATACGGATCATAACGGGTGCCAGGATGAAGCCAAAAATATGAAACAAATGAATATCCATAAGGATTTGGTGGCATGATACGCATGCGCCATGCGCTATTATAGTAGTCATCAAAGACATGCGTTTCGGTGGACAATGACGTTTACTAGCCTTTCAATCGAAGCAGTATGTGTCTGATCGTTTCAAAACTTTTCCTTATGGATAGTCATCTATCTTCAAAAATCGGCTTCATGTTTCGCTATGAAAACAGATAGAGATTATTCGTATTGATTATTAATACGTATATGAGTTAATCGACTGTCAAAAAAAACTCCACATGGAAATCTTCGTCTATCTTCATAATTTTTTTCATCTCTTTGAGCGCACGGATGGAAATTTCTGCTATGTTCAAATGAAGGAAATTCGCAAGGAGATTTTTCATAGTCAAATAGCCAATGACCGTAGATACATAAATCCGATATGCAAGTATAGCACTATTGTCTATTGTGGGAGGAAATATTAAACGTATCCTTGTGTAATCTCTTTCAGATGAAATCTGCACATAGTTTTCTTTGAAAACACATTAAACACACTGACTATCGAATCTTTTTTTTATAGTCAATAGATCAACGATAGAAACTATACAATCTGAGAAAATATGCATTTGAACAGTCTCCTCTTTCATTACCAATTTTCTCGGCTAAAAGTTATTCTATTCTTGAGTGAACCTCACATTGTAGCCAAAATTTGTGAGAATCACATTGACCATGGTTGTGAACAGAATTTGGATAACCATCGTAAGAACTGTATATTGTTGAGGCGACGATTCAATTCATCCATGTGAATTATTTTACGATGAGATCCTAATCTCAGTCTGCTCATAGGTTTTTGTATAAAACACATATAAACACTGGCAATCAAATAATGTATTTGGCTGTGAATAAGTCAACGATAGAAACTATACAATCAGAGTAAACATCCGAACAGTCTCCTTCTTCTTTACCGATTCTCTCAGCTAGGAGTAATTCTTGAGTGAAACTCCTCTTGTGGCCATTCGTTCCATTCTGCTGCCTGAATTCCAAGGATGGCCTGAATTCAGTCATGGAACAAAAAATAATAGTTTGCTGTGAAAAAGTATTGAAGTTCTTTTCATGACTCAACAAATGAAGCTGGAGCGATTATTTAAATTGATAGGGAAAACGAAATTACAAAACATAGGCAAAATTAATTATCAACGAAGAAAAAATAGTTGCCAGTAGTTCAAAATATATTTTTGTCAGAACTACTCGTCTGATTTGTATGATATTTATTCTGATAGATATGATATCTCATTATGAACATCGATGGTGTTCAATCTGTATTCGCATGAAAAAATCTCTTCTTTATAACATTTGTAATACCCTGTTGAGTGTGATAGTTACATTATCGAGTTGAAATCGGAATTACTATTATTGAATTTTTTTGTTGAATTCACTCTAAGATCGATCTTCTATCACTCGAGAAAAACAATTTCATAGCGAAACATGATTTTATGGAGAATCAATATCCAAATTTAGCTACAAGAAAACGAACAGAATGCGATATCACAAAATGGACGAAAGAGTCAGTAGTCAGTATTTTCGCCTCAGGCACGAATAACTACTTGACAACTACTTACTACTTGCAATAAGAGACCTTATGTCATTTATTTGGTCCTGGTCTTCCCAAACTTGAATCAGTATGTGCCGCACATCTTCTACGGTATTCAAGTTACGTTCCACTTGTGATTTTGTTCCAAGAATGTTACAGAGATTCTCAATGGGAGTCAAATCTGTGCTCCGAGCTGGCTATGCCATTTTATCGATACCCAACCGATAATTTCTCAATTGTGTTCCTGGAGTGTAAAATATATTATGGAGTGGATTCGAAAAATAAATGTTGAAGAAAGATATGGGGCTCAGATGTAATTCCAATTTCAACTTGATAATGTTACTAACTAGACTTTGAGGTTTTCATAAAAAACAGGTTCTAATGCGGACACAGTTTACACGCCAATATTCAGGAGAGAATAATCTATCATTCAAAACAGAGAACTCTCAAATCAGACAAGAAGTTGTGGCGAGAATATAGCCCAAACTGGATAATTTCCGGTGGTGCTGTAATTTTTTTTGACAGTGTATTTCGGAAAATGATCGACCATATCCACTTGCGACTCATTATATTACAGTTAACTACATGCAACACTCCTTTTCATTTGTTGTTCCAGTCTCTAAGACTCCCATAATACTTACGTGAATACGAAGTGTACAATTTTTTCTAATAATGTTTCTTCGACTGCCATATGCATAGGAATTTCAGATATCTCGCAGATTGATCTCAGCAAGCATTCTTTGCCTTCCAATCCATAACTGAAAGAATACAAAGCGAAAATAATTAGAATCGTTTCCATAATATTCGTTGTCACATAACGGTGTTCTTCAAACATTGGAGAAATTTTCTTCCGTAGGCTCCAAGAGATAAATGAATGCAACAACATATGACGTGGATGAATTGGTTCAATTTGTTCGACTAGCATTATTTGTTGATCTATCATAGATAGTCCAATCAATGGATGACTGATGAATGGTGAGTGTTGGGTGCATGAGCAGAGACCTAAGTGATTTCTTCGGAAACTTGTTTCAGGTGTTCAGAGAGTGGAGTCTTGACGTCTAGGAAGCAAGTCGGTTGAAAGAAGAGGACAGTAAGAATGTTCAAATCTTGGGTTCGTCTCACTGATTGGTCGGAAAAGATTCGCCGTAAAAATATCCTTGTATCATGAAAAAGAAGCTGATAACATTCTTCATACCTTTCCTGTTATACACTTTTTCCGATTAACTGACCTTTTTCATGCTACACGCTTCGAAAAGTGGGAATTTTTTATAAAATAGTATTGTCTGACATTGAACATTTCTTCATACTATATGAACGCTTCGTTTCAGAAAGGAACTCCTTCGAAAAAATGTGAATGATTGATTTTTCTTCAAATTTGAATTGACTCTTCCGAAGAGGTCCAACGTTAATTTTTAACCAAATTAAAAATCTGTAGATGTCGATCTTGCTGTTCTTTTGATTGCTGGAACTCCTACCACCCGAGACATCATGGTGCTGAAACCCGGACGAAGAGAAACCAAAAAAATGACATTGTCCAACCAAGACATGCAGCAACATGGATTCGAACACATCCTGATCTCACATTCATTCACCAGCTGAATCGTTCAGGGAAAGCAAGGTGGAATATTCAAATTCGCACTCGAAATCTGGAATCATTGAGGAAGCTGCAAAGATAAGATTTTGAAGCATCTCTCCTCCACTCACAGCAAGGTTGAAGAGCCTGGGATGATGGGCTTTCTCGAATCATATCGGGTACCAGCAAAACAGCTCTTCCGTACATGGCAACTAATGAGCCTGACCTCAGCTTCCACCCACCAACAGAAAGCACCTCTATCCACTTGACTGGGCAAAGAGCATAAAAAAGAGGGTGCTGACGTTACTTTCAAAGTAACAAACTTCACTAACCATAAACAAGTAACAATGACTAATACATCATGACGTTTTTTGCCACTACCCTATGTTTCGTCTTTATAGTGTTATGTCTTTATAATAAACTATGTATCGTCACTTTCAAATTTCTGATAGCAATCACATTAACGACGCTGTTTTCGAATCGGATATATGAGTACAGATATTATGTTCCACGTTCAACTTCAACAAAAGTTTGAACAGAAATAGGAGAGAGCTGTTCCGTTTTGTTCAAACACTTCAAAATGTATTTTTCTCCGCACTAATAGCGCATCTGAATCATGACACTTATGTTTGAATTCGTTTTGGATTCTTTTATTTTTTTCATTCTTCATATTTTCCTCAAAAATATCGAGGCAACAACCAGCTGAATCACTGTAAGACTATGAAGTGAAAGCATATCTGAAGGTTCGTCGAAAAATTTATTGAATTTGGAGGTTATGTCAATATTGATACATTTGAATGGACAAATATCAGTAAAATGCATCTACATATACCAATAATCATTATGATTCACGATGTTTGAGATATAATACAGTCAGCAGCATGTTCCTACTAAACAGAGGCATATGAAAAAATAATTTGGAACCAGAAAGCTAGGACAGATGAACTTATCGAAAACAACTTTGATAAAAACCTCAATAATCATCTACTCAAGACTCGAATTGACTTTATTGTGGTAGGTTATTTCGTGATGAAGCCTGATAAAATATTATAGATCTTGGTACTTTTTTCAGATTCATCATGTCTGTGTCATTTATGTTGACGAAAGTTATTGATTAAAATATTTGTTCGAAGAGAGAGATGCCTGAACAGATATCCAAATATACTATAATATAAGTAGGTATCTATACCTACCTCAAATTGGGTGACTATAAAGAACACACAGAATTCTATCAGCAGAAATGATACTTGAATTTTTTTCATCTAGTTCTAGGAAATCTAATGATATTGTGAGTACCTATACCTCTATAAACAAACCAGTTGAAGAAGATGACCATATGCATTCAAAAGTACGTGTATAGGTACTACTCTACAGATAAAATGAATAATTTATATTTTTTTAAGAAGGATGTAATGACAGTTGACATCAGATACTCGGAGCCGAAAAAAGCAAATGATAAAATATCCCAAATACCCAACTGAATTTATTTGATCAAGTGAATTAATATGATTGATACTCCTACCTGAAATAAATATAATGTATATTATATGATGATGATGAATATGTTAGGAAAACTTTCACTCAATGATTTGGTTCTCATATTTTCACATACTATCTCAAAGTCCGGCAATTAGTTGAACTCTTCATATATATATGGAAGAAATTGTAGAAAACTGTTTTGTTCCTATATTTTGTTGATTGAAGCTGGTTATTGAAGTTTGTCAAAGTACCAAGAAAACTCCCATATGTGTACCAAATATGATCACAAAGACATGGAACAAAACGTGAAAATAGTTGTAACAGATCCATTATGAGAGTAAAAGCTTCGAATCAAAAACTTCAACAAAAAAAAAACGTTAAAATGCCTTCGTTCAGTTGAGATAATGATAACGTTGATGTAATGATAATTGAATCATGAAGGTTACCTTAATAACATGTACTTTGTGTAACGTAAGATGACCTTCGTTATGTTGAAGGATATTCAACGTTACTGGATACTTCATTATGTTATATATCATAACGTAACATGCTTTCAAGGTTGGAGGATTATGATGAAACTGGCATGATTTTTCGCCCAGTGAACAAAAAGCCTTTCCAGAACACCTGCCACCAAATTCAGCGGTGATTCGTAGATGAGATGCTACCTCGAGAGTGAGGTTGAAAACATGAAGGAGATACCCTGGCGCCAAATACAACAAAGATCCACCAACACCAGAGGTCCTACCGAAAACGATATTTTGTCATTGCACTAAGGATTGTGGTGGTGGTAAAAGTGAATACCAGAAAGCAACGCTGAATTGTTCTGCTGCGTGCCCCTACTAGCAAGGAGAATATCTCAACGGCTTGTCTGTTGATAAGGACGACAGCGACGATGACGACGATGAAGTTGACGATAGTCCGTTCAGCAAGAGCTATCTTAATCGGAAGGATGAGGATGTCCTGAATGAAGAAACTTTGCCAGGACCCTCACCGCCAAAGGGGACGATGAAGTGAAAGTGGAGTGAAGGAAATCTTCAAGTTATTCAAAGCGAAAACAATTATTATAAAATTAATACAATAATACAATTTTCATAATACAATTTTCTATTTTACAAGTGGAATTATCTTCCTGTCCTGCAGGCAATGTTCTGTTTCCAAATGTGGCGAAACATAAGTGAATACAAAGCTGTATCAAACATTATTTGTAGTTCAGGGTTATCAAAGACCAAGTTTTCCAAAAATTAAAAAAGATTATGAGGAGCTCATAAGTGGTGAAGCTCTCGATCAGTTGAAGACAGATTCGCATTTGTAGATATATTCGTGAAAGAAGATGAATTGTCTATCATAGACCCTGAAGAAAGCGATTGATTCAGGCGATATAAAGAGTGTTTGATGAAAAATGGGAGATAATAATATTTTATCTGAACATCTCTACATTCCGGAGCGTGTAGCTCAAAAACGGTTGGAGATGAAGAGATGAAGTTGTGGAAAATATCATGAGCTCTCATTTGATATGGATAATTTTCTGGTACGACCAACCGTTTCCAAAATATGAGCGAAAAACCCAAAATCGGAACTTTCTTACTGCCTCCCTCCTCCAGCTCACTTTCTTGATGACAGGTCTTTCAGTATGTTGGTTCTCTGAAGTCCTCGAATAAGTTCCTGAAGAAATCGCCTAGGTACCAGCTCACACTCTTGTCAACTCCTTCATTGAATGGACTAAGAAATCAATATCTCGAAAAAGGAAGTAGTAATCCGCTGAGGAAAAATACTTCATGTCACCTTCTAATGAATACGAAGATACTGCTCTAAACTTCGTAGGGCAATTTACTATCGAGAATGTGCATAAAAAACATATTCTATCGATATGATGAATATACAGGGATATTGGTATAACGTATTCTCTTTGCATCTAGATAGAAGTTGGGTAATTGATCGTCTATTGAAATATCGAAATATGGTCAGTGGGATACTCCAAGAATGTTACATCAATTATCATCAAAAAGAATATGAAATATCTATTTTCCTGTTTATTATTTGAATTAGTATTCATTAATTCTTCATCCAATCAGTCATGCATTCTGTAATAGCCAATAATAAACATTTGATATTCTACTTGACAAATTGAACTATAGTGCCTGACTGAAAAAGGTTACAGTGAGTTTTATTGTACATAAATGTTCATTGACCCCAATCTTTCCTATAACCCCCGAGAAGATGCACAAATTGAACATTATATTGAGTTGTCAAACTATGAACTGAAGATACACATTACTGAATATGTTCAGTCGGCATTCATCCACAATTATGATAGTAAATTACATGAACTTGAGAGCAGTACATTTCAACAATTTTGAGATATTCCGGAAAATCTGTGAATATATTCATTGAATACTGTCTGTACGTTGATCGAGGAAGTGGTACATTCGTTATTCCAGATGTCCTGGGATTTTCAACTTCATCGTCGTCGTCGTCGCTGTCGTCCTTATCAACAGACACGCCGTTGAGATTTCCTCCTCACTAATAGGGGCACGCAGCAAAACAATTCAGCGTTGCTTACTGGTATTCACTTTTACCACCACCACAATCCTTGGTACAATGACAAAATATCGTTTTCGATAGGACCTCCGGTGTTGGTGGATCTTTGTTGTATTTGGCGCCAGGGGGGTTTCCTACATGTTTTCAACCTCACTCTCGAGGTGGCAGCTCATCCACGAATCACCGCTGAACTTGGTGGCAGGTGTCCCGGAAATGCTCTTTGTTCACTGGGCAAAAAATCATGCCAGTTTCATCGTAATCTATCAACCTCGATGTTAGGTTATTATGTATAAACCAATGAAGTATCTAGTTCCTCCCAGTAACGTTGAAAATCCTTCAACATAATGAAGGTCATCTTACGTTACACAAAGTACATTGTATTAAAGTAACCTCCATGTTCATGAATTTGAGAGCAGTACATTCCAACAATTTTGAGATATTCCGGAAAATCTGTGAATATATTCATTGAATACTGTCTGTACGTTAATCAAGGAGGTGGTTCATTCGTTATTCCAGATGTCCTAGGATTTTTTCTCCTCGTTTCTATAAAATGGGAATTCGTATATTATTTCAATAGGAAAATTCTTCAAACGCAGTGACATCTTGGGGCAAATCATCTGATTTGTCCTTACTACACGTACATTGAAATGATATCGATATTTTTCTTTCATAGAAACGAGGAGAGAAACTCCCAAACAATCTAGAATAAGGAATAAATTCATTCTTCATCGCCCTCTTCCGGCTCAACGGAGCATCTTCGTATTTCGTGTAGAGGTAGGTTGATTGAAATCAATCTATTTTGATGTCTAGTCCACCCTGTGAAATCAAGGGTACGTTGTTCTGGAACATCTTGTGTATAATTTCATAATAGAGGAGACAGAAGCACATTCATCATTGAAACGTCTAAAGATAAGTGATATTTTCAACAGCTAGTTATATCACGATGTTTGAATATTCGAGATGATCCTGTCGCTTCATTGTTCACGAAATTGTGTTGCAGAGCAATACCGCACAAGATACTTGAATAAAGGCAAATACTACTCACCTATCCAGAAATTGAATGATATACCCATAGAAGGTTTTTCTAGTGATATCAATGAATGGTTTGTTCCTGGCAGAAATGGTCAGGGGTTGAAAATTAGAGATGTTGTAAGGCGCGGCATAGTTGGCTTGAGCAACCAAACTGAAATTTATTGATCGTCTAGGGAGAACTAATGGTACTGTTAATCCCGTACTGAACTGAAAAATCAAGAATTATTTCGATGATTTTCATTTGGGATATACTTAGATATAATTTAGATATATTGCCTTGGAATTTTATACAGTGTGATTCATTGGGAAATGCGCATACAGCAAGGGTAGATGGAGGACATCGAGGTACTTCTAAATTAGGCTGCATATAATTCGTCAGAACGTATTTTATCAACACCGTATTATATCAAAATATATTCGATCAAAATGGTTATTCAACAGAACCGTAATTTAACGGAGCAGTAATTCATCGGCATGCAAAACATCATAACGGAATCTATCATGTTGTAAAATGAAGGAATGTACTTCATAAGAACGTAAAACATCATTCCGTACTTTATAGAAATGGTAATTCATCATAACCGTATTCCATCAGAATGGTATTTCATCAGAATCGTATTCTGACAGCACGGTGAATCAACAGAACCGTATTTCGTCGCTTCAGTAATATATCATAATGGTAAATCGTCATGATGGTAAATTATCAGAACTGTAATCCGTCGGAATATTATTTTGTCAGCAGTGTATAGTATCGTTACTGTAAAACATCATAACCGTATTTTAACAGAACTGTAAATCATCAGAACTGTGTTTCATAAGAACCGTAATTCATCGCTTCCGTATTTCATCAGCATATCAATGTATCATAATCGTATTTTATCAGAACGCTAAATCATCATAACCGTATTTCATCAAAACCGTATTCCATCAGAACCGTATTGTATCAGCACGGTATTTCGTCAGAATGGTAATCCATCGTCGGTACAGTGCCCTATCGATTTTCTGTCCGCTTTTTAGGTATGCTATGCGATGGCGAATGCATGTAAGATAAAATAAGTATCTGATCAGAATAACTATTCTAACATGGAATATGTTATTCTGAATGAGATCTCGATAGAATTTCACCTCAAGAATCTTTGTAAGCTTCTCAATATAGCTTCTCAATGTGAGATCGTATATTTTTTATATTCTTATTGTCGGTGTTTGATAAGTGTATAGAGAGGCAGTTAGTTTCAACTGCCTGCGTGCGGTATCAATTATCAGGAATTCAGTTGTACCTACGTGAATTAGATTGAAATAAAAACCTTATTCAATTTGGAATTTCCTTACACTCTGTAGATATGCATCTTATCGAAATGTTATATCTATACAAGAATATATAGAAAAACAAGGTGCTTTCAGAGTCAGAATGAGATGAATCGATGAAAAATTTCATGCGTATACAGGGTGAGTCACAATAATTTGAGCCCGTGACGAATTTCAAGATCATCAGATAAATAACCTAATTTTGAAGTTGAAAGTTCGTATCACCGTATATCCTGAACTCAATCCGTTCTGTGATAAGGTGTCAGGAATTGGATTACGATTTGAAATTTCAATAGGCTATCGACTGCTGAATTAGTTATAGGTAATCATTTATTTAGATTTTTTTGACCCATGGATTACTTACGGTCGCATATGACCACATTATTCTTCATATCACCATTTTTAGACATCAGAATTATTCAACATTAGTTAGGCTGTTTACATCACACATATTTCATGAACCTGAACTCTCTAGTTACCGAGATGAATGAGAAAAACTAAATATTTCACATCCCCATTCAGAATAATGATTATATGTCAGTTGTCACTTTGCCCGCAGTGAGATATAAAAAATGGAATCACTTTTTTTGATCAGGTTCGGATGGAATTTTTTATGTTTCTACCTGATTCTTTGTTCATCGTTCGATGACTATTTTCATATTGTATCTACACTTCCCAAATTATTTGTTCTTCAACACTTTAACTGTCGCAGTCACACAACCCTTTTGAGTTCTCATGAGCTTGGACAACACCATGCACATATTCGTTGCATACGTCAACAATTGAATGTATTTACCCACATCTTGCAAGCAATATCAAGGATATATTTCTTCAGGGGTAGCTGGAACCACACTCAACATGTTGTTTTCAAATGCAACTCTATGGCATGTGACCACTCATTGGAAATCAGGTGGAAAGAGGAATCTAGCAAACGGGCAAAAGTTTAGGTTTTTGTACGTCTCCGAACATTTTTTTCAAAAATGATTTTTCAAATTTTTGACGGATTTTTAGTTACTTCGAAAGAACACAGAATTCAACGAACGCACTGTATTCAAATTCTATGTGTGATATATCTTTGAATCCAGCTTCCCATGGATATTTCAGCAATTGAATAATATTTAGGATGTACCATTTGAAAAAATCATCGAGGACGTCATGAATTAGACGTGAATCACCCTGTATATTTGATGTCTGCCTACACATGCGACCTGCTTCAATAGATTCCTCAAAAATGAATAGTTTGGCTTAACATGAATGTATCCACTACTACTATACGAGAATCCTGCTCGATGTGACGTATTTGCTGCATAACAATCCTCTATGTGTGATTAATGTTTGAATTCAGTTTTCCATAGAGATTTCAAAAATTGAATAATATATAGAAAAAATTCACGCGGACATAATAATTCCAACTTGAATCTCCCTCTATATTTAATTTTCCTGTATGAATCTGGCGAATTTGAATTGAAAGTCGAATTATTTCAAGAATTTGAAGAAAAGTTATCGAAAAAATAAACGAAATATAGATTGACCGACAAAAACGCCCCAAGCCAAACAAGCACCGTTAGTTATTATTCGACTTCTATGAACAAAAAATAGTAGGAAATGCGAGGAAATGGCTCATCAGATACTAGGAGGACCATATTTTTATAATTCAAACTCCCCTAACAACACAGGGATGTCCTAGGTACGTCCCTTCTGTGTCCCGCGGTACAAGGACATGATTGGGGCATCCAGGGGATGTCCCGCAGTGGTTGTCGAGTTGGCATCCCGCCCGGTACATCCCTAGGTTATCTTATTCGTGTCCCTGGAATATCTGATATCGATTCACAGTCATTGAATGTATCAGAACTTCTTAAGAAATTACCATTTTTCGCAAACAGAAATCGTAAATGCATAATGCCCCTCATTTTCAAACAAAAATGTATTTATTCAGGTTTCTATAGTTTAGTCCTGTTCATAAATTTGTTCAGTACATGAATCTTCAGAAGGCATATTAGCTAATGGAGTAAGGTGCGTGCATTATAAGCTGAAGGTGCCGGGTTCAATCCCTACTCGACCTACATTTTTTCCTTTTGTCGAAGGGATGTCCCTGGAATATCCCTGGGACGTCCTAGGTATATCCTTCCTTCGTACTTGGTACATCCTAGGGACGTACCAGAAGGCGGCCAGCGGATGTCCCTTGGACATCCCTAGTATTGAATCAGGGACGTCCCTGGGAATGTACTAGTATCAGCGATAGTAATTTCTTGTTAAATAGTATCAACCTTTTTTTTTAATTCATTTTAACTTTTACGTAAAATTATTCGACGATAAACCTTGAAAATGCTCTTCATTATAGTACTGACAATTTGATTCATATGTATGAAAATCCCGTAAGACGCTGTGATTTTGTCATTATGACAGCAAAAAAACATTGCTCTGAAAAACTCAACTTGACATTTGAAACCATGACAACCAATATTATTGTAAATGGATACTTTTTGAGAGCGTTCATGTCAATTTTTCTCAATCATGCGTTGTCACAAAAGTATCTTATCTGTGAAAAATCCATCGACAATAATGTGATAAGCAATCATTAAATTGTTGAATTGTCTTACCGAATAACACTCAAGAATCTTCCTGTAGGAAGGTTTAGAAAATATAAAATCATCTCCACAACGTTTGATAATGGTAGAAGTTTCAACGATCAACCTTTGTATTCGATGTGGTCCCCTACTACTCTACTACATCGCTGGTTATGTCAACTCCTCAGATTTTGATACAGGGTGAAATGATGAAGCAAAAATATCAAAATTTGATATTGAATAACTACAGAGATATTGTCGTTGAAATTCTGGCTGGGGGTATTCCAGCTATATCCACTTTTTCTGAATGAAGTTGCCTGATAGACTACTTTGAAATTTCGACCCATTCAACAAGCAATATGAAGTAGGTATTAGGCCTTGACAATCTGTTTATATTCCAGATGTCCATATTTTCGAAAAGAGCTCGTTGTATACTACATAATGGAATTTTTATTCCGAAGAACATGTTCCAAATTAAAAGGGTGTTGCGAGCTGATTTCGCACATACTGTTGTAGGTTCATGAGTGAATCGCAATAATATGTAAGTTGAGAATGAATTAACTATGTCCAAGAGCCGGCTGCAAATATCGCTGTCATCAGATAATGAAATGATATATGTCCCAAAGTCATGTGGAAACATTATTGTATTTTATCGAACGGCACCTGTGTCAATCACTATCCTGAACAGAATGATGGAGAAATTGCACTTTCCTGTGCGAAAATTTGCACTCGATTCCACCATTTGAAAACGAATTAAGAATTATGACATCTCATCATCCTATCATTCTGCTCAGGATGGTGATTGGCACAGGTGCCGTTCGATGAACTACAATGTTTTCTCAATCCTTCGGGGAGCCAGCTCTCCTTACTATAATGGGATTAATTCTGTGGACGTATAATACAGAATGATTTTGAAAGAATGAACCAACGTTATTTTTGTTGATCTTGTATTGATTTTTTTTATTTTTGCATCTCTTGGACCACACGAAAGGAAATTCCCATAATGTTTTGAGAACATCGTTCGTACCTAGGAAGTACAGAAAGAGGAGGTAGGTGTTGAATTCTTTTTCCAACTTCTGGATGATAAGTTCTTGGGAATACTTCCTTTGGAGATGAATTCCCATGCTTTGTCGTTATATAGACGACGATAATGTCGATAATACTGATAATATCGATGATACCGAAAAAAAAAATCGATTATATCGATTATATCGATTATAGCGATTATATCGATTATATCGATTATATCGATTGTATCGATTATATCGATTAGGTATATCGATTATATCGATTATATCGATTATATCGATTATATCGATTATATCGATTATAGCG